GGTTGATCTTATAAATCCTTGCAGATCATAAATTCCTCATTACTGAGTTTTCATTTGGGCTGCCCTCTTGGGTAACAGAAGTCTTCCAGTATTTTTTAACGAGGGACAGGATGGTCTAGCAAATCTGTTTTGCCTTAAAAGATGACGGAATTAGTTTAGTATGAGGCTGGTTGCTCCCAACCTTTCCTCCTGAAAGCTCTACTTGCTGTTTAATTATCTCCCGATCTTGGGTGCTGCAGAAAAACCTAAAGCCAGTGGGCTCTCATTCTTGCAAGGTAACTTGCTTTTTTTGGCCTTCCTGCTCATTAGATCTGTTTCCTATATCCTCGTAATATAAAAACGTTGCCATTCGCTTTTCTTGGGATGTGGTGAACCCTTCAGATCTGCGCATCTGAGTACTTTTACAACTCCCGAAACATTTGTTCAATTAAATCTAGTTTTTTTACTCTATTTTCCAGTAGGAATATGATCTTAGGTTTACTTTTCTCCCCTCTCCTATCGTCTGCCACGCTGGGTCAGTGTTTTTAACCCTCTCCTCCAGATCCTGGGAGCACTTCTCAGGATGGCTTTTTAAAGCACTGATTTGACATTCAACGGCATTCTCTAGAATGTGGATTTGAATTGTTATTGCATCTCTAGCCTCTTTTTAATCCCTTATTTATGGATACTCCCTGCCTCATATTCCGATTCCGACACATTGAGCTCTTAAATTCCTCAGGGCATTCCTTCACCTCTGGGGCTTCACAGCAATATTCTTTCCCCCAAACACGTTTCCCGTTCGCATCATCTGGCGAACTCCCAATTTCCGGGACCCGAGCTTCAGCACCCTTTCACAGGGGGCTTGCATGGCTCCCCAGCACGGGTGGGGGTGCTGTGCATCCACTGCGCCCTGCCCCACCCCATGCGCACACAGGTCGCCCTGCGCTGCGAGTGCCTGCTCCCCTGCCTGGACCGCACCGGCCTGGAGCCCCAGGCTCCCTTTACAGATGCACACGTCGAACATTCGGAGGCTCTGGCTCTGGAAACTTTCCACAATGTACATAACCGCCTTCTAATTGGCCTACTTCGTAAATGNGGAAAGGAAACTTTCCACAATGTACATAACCGCCTTCTAATTGGCCTACTTCGTAAATGTGATGTTTTAAAAATAGTATTTCCTTAATGCAAGGTATACTTGGGCTGCCATTGTTTTACCAGAAAGCTAACAAAGAATTAGTGACACCTTGTGGCAACAACTTGGAAAGCCACGCGCAGCTCCAGGAGCCCAAAGGCCCCTCGTCGCCAAGCTGTGCAGATGCGGCGAACCTTCCGGGAAGAGTAACCTGTGGGTACAGCGTCTGCTTCTCAGGTCTCGCAGGGAGGCCCCTTCGCTCACAAACGACCATCGTTTGAACGTGGCTGATGCGAAAACCAGGGCTTCTGCGTTTCTGTTTTTGTTTTATTTATCTTTACCGTCGGAAGTATTACAGAGCCCCCGCCCCGGGCCTTCCCGGCACTGTCGCCCGTGTCCGTGGGTTAAACACATCCGCCTGTAGCTTCATGCGCGAGTCTCTTCCCACGCAGCCCCCTTCCCGCCGGGACCCGTCGGTCCGGTGCGAGCGGCACCGTCTAGGGCTCTTCTTCAGTGTTTTTCGGTCGCGTCCTCTGTTCATCGGATCCCACGTACAGGCGAGACCCCGTGACGCGTGTCTCTGGCTGCGGCGTCTTTGAGCGCAGACCCACGCGTGACGCGTAACTAGTCGGAGCCCGGGGCGACGCAGTGACCTACAGGCGCCTACAGGAGACCCCGCCCAGCGCCCGCCCCGTCCCCAAAGCGATGTCGGCGGGGCGGCCCTTGGGGCTCCGGGGTCCCCCGGGCGCGAGCAAGAGCGGAGAGAAGAGAGCAGAGAGCAGAGAAGAAAGGAGGGGCACGCGGGCCAGGCCGCGAGCGCGGGGGGCGCAGGGCCGG